TGTTTCAACTATCCCATTATTTTCCATATTAAAATCAAGTTTGAACAGTAAATTCATAAAGAGTCAAGATTGTGGATCAATACAAAGTATTCTTTAACAAGATGATTGATGTCTTGAGAATATCATCTAACTAGATATACTATAGGTTGATAGTTATTATAAAGTTCCAGAGGAAGTCTCCCCAACCCAGATTTGATGAAGTTTTTCTTGCATGTAATACATACTTACAAAACTATAGATATAAATTTTCCATAGGTGTTTTATCAATGTAATTAAAAGGGTCGAATTTTGTTTTCATGAATTATTTGCACTCTTTTTGGCTTTAAAATATGTGATATAACTTTTTAAATATAAAGCAAAGTAAATTCTGAATTGTATAAAGCTATGGGATTTTCTAATGAATCAAAGATATTTAACAATAATATAGGTCTGTAAAGAATGGATAAGCATAGCTCGTATTTTATGTTATTGTATATCTTTATTATTTGTTTTTAACGTTTTTTTGTTTTCATTCGCACTCGAGATCACATGACAGGAAGATTATCGCTTGTCAGACTCAAATCCCTTCATGAGCTTAATATTGGCAAGAGAATAAGTTGACATGGAATGACTTTTTTTAGCGAATATGAACCAATTATTTGGTAATAAAAAATGACAGTACTTTATAAATTGCATGCGTCCGAAGGGCTTTTCTGGATTTACCTTCATCAGGAATGCTCTAAGCCGAATATTTGAAAGCCAAGAAAGTATACATGATACAGTTGAAGAGCTATAAGACCAAAAAAAAAAGGACATTCATAATGTAGCTATTATAAACTGAAAATCTTAACTTCAGTAAAACACATTTTTAATCTCTCGAATTAAAGTTTGGAAATTATTTATGAAACATTTTTCCGTGACATCTTAATATTTTCATACTTTGCCATTTCAAATGTTTGAATTTAAGTACATTGAATTAATTGCTAGTAATTTAGTTTTATGGTAAATCCTACATTTTCTCATAAACGAATCCCTAAATAAAATATAAATAATAAAATTGTGAGAAAATGCAAAAACTTCAAAATCAAGATCAAAGAATTAGCACTCGTTAAATGAGAAATCAATACATAATATCGATCTGCAATCCAAACGGTTAACAATGCCTGCTAGAATATTACAACCAAAGGATATCACCACCATTCTTCTTGAAAATTGAAATATGATTTATACTGGTTTTACGTTTCAATGTCAATTTCCATATCATATTGAGATGAAATCAGTGTAACAATAGACAAGTTGAATACCGAGTGATTAATCCAATATGTCGATTATCCAATAAAACGTCTACGGAATTCCCTGTATACACCGTCTTAGTTATTGGATTTTATTGTAACTGTATTTGACAAAGAAATTGCTTTTATTTGGAATCGTTCAAACAAGAAATGCAAAGCAGAGTAATTTGTTTCCCTCGGCTTATATTATATTAGAGAAATGCAAGAAATTTTCAAAATTGGATTTAAAGTCTTTTCTGTTGGTTGATTGATAATTTAAGTGAATTTATTAAGTATTTATTTTCATCTGAATTTCGTGAATGGAATAAATGTCATTTTATCATGCCCAGTTTTCTTTGTTTTGTCGTATTTTTTGGTCTTTTGGCGTACTGATACCTTTTATACTAATAAGTAAAATCAAGTCGTAAATTTAATTGAATATTTGTTTTTATACAAAGCTTTGACGGTGACCCATATAGTTGTTAATTTCTGTGTCATTTGGTCTCTTGTGAAGATTTGTCTCATTTGCATTAATACCACATCTTCTTTTTCACATCAAAATCACCTTTTCTTTGACTTAACTATATCGTTGAAATTTATCAAACTATATCAAATTTTGAAACAAAATATATACTTCAACCCAAATTCAACGTTAAAAAATCAACTTTAATTCAACGTTGAAACAACATTGATACTCCAACCTACTTTCAACGTTAAACAGTCAACTTTATTTCAACGTTGAAACAACCTATCCTTTGCAACCTAAAACCAACGTTGTCCTTTAAAAGTTGAATCAACGTCATGACGAGAAATCAACCAATTTTCAACGTTGAAATGACGTTGAGTACCGGGTGGGAGTCATCTTTTGATGTACTGAGAACACGCACTAAGAAAAAGATAACAAAGCAATATAAATATACAATATTCGTACAGTAAAGGAAAACATCAAATGTATTTGACGATCTTTAGTAACAGAGAGAAAAGTGAGGTTAGCCGAGCTCATCTTCTGTTTCCTAGCGAGTACAAATACATTTTATATTTTCCTACACTGTAAAAATATTGTTTTATCTTGCAATTAAACATTGAACTTGAACGTTTAGTTTTTATAACTGTCTCCTTGACTTTAACGAAACATCTCTTTTTATTAATATTAAGACTTTCAACATCAATTTAACACCCTTTTTGTAGTAATTAAGATTATAACACATGTTGACTGCTGTACCCCTCTGTTTGACAATTTTACCTATTATGCATGTCGGTTTGTTTTGTTCACACATCGTTGTCAATATAATGGAATTTTATGCGACTGTCATACTAGTAAGAGGTTTAGCTAGCTATAAGGCCAGGTTTAATCCACCATTTTCTACATAAGAAAATGCCTCTACCAAGTCAGGAATATGACAGTTGTTGTCCATTCGTTTGATGTGTTTGAGCTTTTGATTTTGCCATTTGCTTAGGGACTTTCCGTCTGGAGTTTTCCTCAGAGTTCGGTATTTTTGTAATTTTAATTTTGCCCTCCAAAAAAAGTATTTATATATACCAAAAGGGTAACCAAACAAAATCTCTGTAGTTTCCTATATCTGAAGTTCAATGGTATATATTAAACCAACTTAGTCCCTGCATGAAATGAGGACAAATGAAAGGATTATACACGGTGTTTGAAAAAAATATTAGATCCCTTCAAAAGGAGGGGAGGAACTTACGTTTCTATTTGCTTACCAGACACTTTTAGCAAATTTGTTTTCATAGTTTTTAAGTCAGGAACCTGATGTTCAGTGGCTGTCGTTTGTTGATGTGGTTCATAAGTGTTTCTCGTTTCTCGTTTTTTTATATAGATTAGACCGTTTGGTTTTCCTGTTTGAATGTTTTTACACTATTCCTTTTTTGGGCCCTTTATAGCTTGCTGTTCGGTGTGAGCCAAGGCTCCGTGTTGAAGGCCGTACTTTGACCTCTCATGGTTTACTTTTACAAATTGTGACTTGGATGGAGAGTTGTCTCATTGGCACTCATACCACATCTTCTTATATCTATTTGTATTTCCAAAAACAGTTATAAATATTCTTTCAAGATGGATTCGAACAAATTCTTACTAATAACGTTCTTGTGCTCAAAGTATTCCACTATTTCAAGTTTCGCGAGTATGTCTTTGAAATCAGAAAACCAATTATTTCTACATCTAGATTTATGTCTTATTGATGCATATGTAAAAATATTTCTAAAAGGTTGAATTTAGGGACTTAACGGCCCTCCTCAGAAACATAAGCTAAATCAATCTACAGAGTAACAGACATTCTGTCATCAGTTATTTCATTTATATCCTCATATCTAACGGAAGTTAATCTAGAACAGCATGAATTAGATGCCGTCACATTAGGACTTTTAATCTAAGTTCGCTAGCAACCGATCTTTATTTTAAGTGTCAAGTATACTAATGAATATGAGGTTTGGTATAATCAGTGGTATTGTCTTTATTATTATGTATGTTTTGAGATGTGATTAGCTGCTTTTCCAAAGACTACTGTGACTGTCTTGTATGGTACGTAGTTGTATTATCAGGCGGAAATAACCGTTTGGTGCCTTAAATTTTGCTGAAAGACATAACTGAACACTTCAAAATCCTCTATTATTATGACAAAACTATAATAAAGGTTTTCGTTCAGAATGACAAGAAAAGCTAAAAGTCAAGACCCTCGTATCGCTCTCCGATAAGCGTTATAAATCATTCTAAAGCCTTTTTATCGACATATAAAACGGTATTGTATGTTTCAAAGTTGTATTAGCATTCTAGGTGCTTTAATTTTTTCTAAAAAACATAATTAAACATTTCCAATTCCTCTGTTATTATGACAAAATGATAAGAAGACTTTCACCAAGAATGACAAGAATAGCGAAAAGTCAAAACCCTCGTAATGCTCTCCGATAAGCGTTAACTTATAGTTTATTCTAAAACCTTTTTATCGACATAAAGAAAAGTCTTGCGCTGACATTTCACGTTGGCATTTCATGTTTGTATAAGGCATTAAGTGTTCATAGATATTCGTGATGGTGGTATTGCTAATTCCATCATTCTATTGATTTTGAAATCAGTAAAACACTAGCGAGAGAAAGGAAACCCCTGACGGTTCATAAATCACAACACAGTATCTTATTTAATGAGCATTCATGTAGGAAGAGATTTATGGGTAGTGATATTACAGAAAAGAGGAAAATAATCATTATTAATATAACACTTTTGCTGTATTTATAAGGATTTAAAGAGTTTCATATTCAAATGGATAATTTATTGTAAAGCATATACAAATTATTTAAACCAAAAAAGCGAATTCTTAACATTGTTGATCACAAAATCGGAATAAAGAAAATACTGAGATTGGAATTTTAGGATTATTATTTAATTGATTAGAACTTTTATGTAAGGTAAGTCTCTGTCACAAAAGCACGTTCGGATTTTCTCTATGATAATGTATGTAACTATACTTATAACCAACAGTGAGTAAGTCTACAACGCAAAACATTGATAATGTTCCTTAAAAGAGTTGTTTTCAATTTGAAGAGAGAGAGAGAGAGAGAGAGAGAGAGAGAGAGAGAGAGAGAGAGAGAGAGAGAGCCTATTTTGTTATTTCGGGCAACGATTAATTAATATTTAATGATTTTAATTGCCTTCCTAACGAAGTTATCAAATTTCCTGTATATGTCATATTTGTTTATTGTAGGTGTATTTCCTGTATAAGTCATATTTGTTTATTGTAGGTGTTTGCAAAGCCGACCAATAAAGAATGAAAAGACAGAACGTGCGAACCTTGTCGCTGATCATATGTACATTTACTTATCTTCTTATTGGAGCAGCAGTGTTTGATTCACTTGAATCCGACTTTGAAATAGAAAATAGGCGCAATCTACGAGAAAGAGAACGCAAAATCAGAGAAAAATATAATATCACTGATGAGCATTTTGAAAAAATCAGAATAAACGTTATAAAGTCGAAACCCTATCAAGCCGGTACCCAGTGGAAATTTTCTGGTGCCTTATACTTCTCTTTAGTTGTTGTAGCCGTTATAGGTAAGTAACAATATCAAGCCGGTACTCAGTGGACATTTTCTGGTGCCTTATTTTTCTCTGTAGTTGTTGTAGCCGTTATATGTTAGTAAGCCGGTACCCAGTGGAAATGTTCTGGTGCCTTATACCGAGTCCTCTTTAGTTGTTGTAACCGTTATAGGTAAGAAAGCCGGTACCCAGTGGAAATGTTCCGGTGCCTTATACTCCTCTTTAGTTGTTGTAGCCGTTAAAGGTAAGTAAGCCGGTACCCAGTGGAAATGTTCTAGTCCCTTATGCTCCTCTTTAGTTGTTGTTGTTGTTAAAGGTAAGTAAGCCGGTACCTTCTGGAAATTGTTTAGTATGTTATACTTCTCTATGGGTTTGTATAGCTGCCATAGGTAAGTTCAAATAGCAATTTTAATTCCCTTTTTAAAATAGTTGGGGAGGGGTGGGGGGGGGGGGGGGTTTACGTATCCAGCAAATGTTTTAAAATCGGCACTTTGCGTTGACGGTTAGTCATAAATTATAATATCCGCACAGCAACCAGTGTTTTTATTGCTGCATATTTAAAATTTAAGTTTTGACTCCAAATGTTTAGCTTATAACACAAATAATTATAGCTATAACTTCAGACATAATCAAAAGTTAATGGTTGTCCAGCTAAGGCCAATTTGGGCTTGATGCTCCTAAATGTTTTATATATTTGACTTTCCGAATGTGTTGTCTCCAGCTTACTTTATGACGCTTATTCAAGGTTATTCACGAAACAAATATTCAGTGCACTGGAATCGATACTAATATTCAACATTTCCCCTATTTGCTACAGACACCTTCATATTTCAGTATTTTCTAGGAACAATAAATTACGTGTTTTAAAATGGAGATGTCATTAATACTTAATTAAGTTTGGCTATACCCAAGGGCAAACAAGTGTTAAAAATATAAACTTATTTATTTAATTTGGTGGTAACCCGAACAATTCAGTCGTTATATTCCGCTGATCTACATTTTCTTCATTAACAAATAGGTGATGAATTTCGGGGATGGACTGAATTATTCTGGTTAATTTGGTGGGTAAATATTAAAGGACACATTTGTATTCCAAAGTTAAATTAACAAACAAACATATAAACATTACGAAACCATTAAAAATGTTTTAAAAATCGTGCCCTTCATTTTTTCTCTCTCTTCAAAAACATATTTCACAGCATAATTATGATCAGCAATTTTTTTGTATATATAGAAAACCCCATGTAAAGATAATTTACTATAATTGGAGGGTTTTAACACCTGGAATACATTAAACATTTTAAAAATATTTTACAGGTTATGGACATAGTACTCCTAAAACTGTAAGTGGCAAGTTGTTTTGCATGGGATACGCATTAGCTGGAATTCCACTATGTATAATAATGTTCCAAAGCGTGGGCGAAAGACTTAACACATTCATGTCGTATGGATTGAAACAAATTAAAAAATGCTTCCGACTTAAGAAAACAGAGGTGTCCCAAACGGACTTGATTTTTGTGACAATGAACCTTTCTACAATCATTGTAGCCGTCGGAGCTTTAATATTTTCCCACTATGAAGGTTGGGAGTATATTGATTCTCTGTACTATTGTTTTATTACGCTAACAACAATTGGATTTGGCGATTATGTAGCTTTACAAAAGAAAGACAAAGTACAGACGCATTACTATGCATTCAGCTTACTTTTTATTCTATTTGGATTGACGGTTATATCAGCTGCAATGAATTTGTTGGTGTTACGTTTCCTTACTCTTAATTCTGAGGATGAAAGACGAGACGAACTCGAGGCAGCAATTGCAGCCCAGAATGCAGTTCATCTTGAAGGTGACGTCATAACCGGAAATGCAGGTGTTGTGGGTAATGCACAAGAGCGACCTGATTTTCAAGAGACATTATCAGTATGTTCATGCTCGTGTTATAAATGGAGGTCAGCCAGAGATAAGATTTATGGTGCAACAAACAACCCAACACGTACAAAATCTTTCATGTCAAACAATGTCCCGTCAACAAAGGAGGACAATAACTCCGAAACTGATTCATTTTTAGTTTGGCAACGGAGTAAGCGTGCGTCATTTTAAACAATTTCAGTTTTATTATCTATTTACATTATACATGTATTCATTATTTTATTACACAGCATTGCTCGGTCAGAATGAATAAAAAAAGATGAAGTTGGTATATTTTATATCTTTGAAACTGACTTCAAAGCTTCCAGAACGCCTTTTTCTCACAGAATAACTTGATAGTTGAGTAAATCTTATATTTTATCATGGCTTTTGTCATGTTTGGTAATTCTATGTTGATAGAAGTTTAACGGACGCCATCATGAGTTGGAATGGAAAGTCTGTTTTACAGAGGACGACCGATATGTTCAAATTGTCGTAACCACAATCTCTTCCTCTGTTCCTCGTTTGTGACATCACCGAATGAGAGTTCTCACCGGATGTGTGATTGTCATGAATAAAGCGACGGTTGCCATGCACATGTGGAGCAGGTGGTGTCTTCCCGATTGTCCCACTTTTTGAAAAGACAGGTAAAAAAGTAAAAAGTAACAATCGGGAATATGATTGTGGGACAATTGGGATGCTTAAATATGGGACAATCGGGAATTGTTTTGATAGTGATTAATTTGTTTTTATAGTGTGCAGTAGTTAGTTACTGGTTACTAATCAATGTATCTTATAAAATATGAAATAAACATGAATAAATAATAATATATACATATTTTGTTTCCACATAGTAGTTACATGTACAACTGAAGTATCATCAAACATAGAATATAATTTGAAGTCATAAAATAACACATTTCAAGCACTACTCAATTCTACATAAATGTGTACTAAAGAGTAAACAATTAGGCTTAGTATTTATAGCACACATAATAAACATCTTAATTTATTTTAAAAAGCACGACACGAAAAGCAGATACTTTAAAGCGCATACAATACAGAAAGTACAACAATAAACCACGCATAATACATAAGTACAACAATAAAGCATGTATAATGCACAAGTACAACAATAAACCACGCATAATACATAAGTACAACAATAAAGCATGCATAATACAAAACATAAACATCACAACACATTATATTCCTGCAACACATTTAGTCCAAGTGTAACAAATAAGATGCAATGTACGCATACTGAAACACACTATATATAACTTCACCATTCTGAAGAGGATCTTTGAATTCTTGTAGGCGTTGATAGATTTGTGTGTATTTTCCTCTCTTTGATGGTCGTACCAGTTTTTCTTCGTTTTTTTTTAGTTTTGAATGTCTCCATGGAATACTCCACCTTTTTAACACACAGCCAACCAATACTTGCTCTTTAAGGATATTCTACTCTGTTTCAAAATAACAAGCCTTTTCAAAGATTGTTATAAATTGATAGTATATAAATAACGGAACTTAAAAAGCAGAAAAAAATTAAGGGTCCGTGTCCTTGTTTTCGAAATATGGCTTTTCAAACTATATCTAATAAAATTATGAAAAGAAAAATAGGGGTTGGCGGCCAAAAGTTTTTATGGCACGACATGGATAAAACCAGAGAATTTCGAATATCTGAACATGCTTAACATTCCTTGTAGCAAGTCTAAATTTCGAATAAAAAAGTTTGTGTTTGATGAGTAGTAGATTTGTTCGGTGACTCTGGTCATGCGTCAGTCTCATGATCGAAATTACTTCAACAAATATGTTTACAAAGGAGATAACAATATACTGAAATATCCCGATTAATCGTGCAATTTGATAGGTTACCTTGATAGTGGATAAATATGAGCCCATTTATTCATTTCTTAATTTTGGTATATTAAAAATTTCACACGCCTTGAGTATTAGGTTTCACACATACAAATCTCTTGATTTCGCGCCAATCTTTTGTGTTTTTTTTTATTCCTATCAATAATTTGTAGCTTCGGACACCACGCTAGTACAGATTTTCATTACTTTTCTCTATCAAAATGATGCGTGCGATTTTTCCTCATTTGTTTTCAGACCATTTTTATGTACGTATGAGTATAGCGAAGTAGAGCATAACCCTTCGAATAAAACAGGAGCCTGTAATTCAGTGGTTGTCGTTTGTTTCTGTGTAACATATTTGTTTTTCGTTCATTATTTTGTACATAAGTTAGGCCGTTAGTTTTCTCGTTTGAATTGTTTTACATTTGTCATTTCGGGGCCATTCATGACTGACTATGCGGTATGGGTTTTGCTCATTGTTGAAGGTGACCTATATTTGTTAATTTCTGTGTCATTTGGTCTCTTGTGGAGAGTTGTCTCATTGGCAATCATACCACATCTTCTTATTCTTAATTTTTATATTTACAGGGGATAAGGGCTCATATTCTATGTGTGTGCTCCATACCCCCTTCGCCTGACGGCTCAAGGATGACAAATTTTTTTTTATATAACATGTTATTAAAATTTTAAAGTTAGTTGATGTAGATTTTATTTGCTTTATTTTCATTTTTCAAATTTATTTTAGATCGAGTTTGATTTAAACAACCTCTATTAAGTATTTTTTTTAATATCAATTAACATATGCATATTACGAATATTTTTCACAGATCCCATGTCATAGGGTCAACCTATTATAGTGGCAGTGGATCTTCATATATTGTAATTGTTCCATAGAATCAACTAGAATTCATCGACATAATGTTAAATAGGATTGACAAATCTTACTGATGAAATACATGTATTGATAAAAGAATAATAGTAGGAGACGGTATTACTTGTAATAACGATGCAACTACTTTCGGTTGCCCGTATTCAATGACATGTTTTCCGTAGGTTTCAATTTTACGCCCGATTGAGCTTTTGTCGGTTCAATGAATTATGAGGCGATTCGCTATAGCACGAACAACCACGATAGAAAAAAAGCAGAAACGACCTATTAATTACTATATATATATAAAAATATTAATTTTCGCGAACCATTTAGGTCACGGAAATTCCATTTTTTGCCATCAGTAAGGCGAGTTGTACAAATGATGTGAATACACAGAACCCCGATCCAATTCATCTTTTGCTAAAAATATTTATCATTTTCTGTTTTATATCTCCTAACATCATTCCATTTTTCTCTAATTTCGATTAAAATATGCCAAAACCTGCAGTAAAAATAGATGTATGCCCCAAATAAACATTCCCCGATTGGTTAAAATACTATGGCGTCGATGTAAAGCAACGAAAGCCTCGATGTAAAGCAACGCAAGCCTCGATGTAAAGCACACGCTTCCCAAGAGTAAGGAGAGTTGTACAAATAATGTGAATTCACAGACCCCCGATCCAATTTATCTTTTGCTAAAAGTGTTCATCATTTTCTGTTCTGTATTTACCAACAACATTCCATTTTTCTATAATCCCGATTTAAACATGTCGAAACCTGCAGTAAAAATAGATGTATGCCCCAAGTAAACATTCCCCGATTGGTTGAAAAGCTGTGGCCTCGATCTAAAGCAACGCAAGCACACGCAAAAATTTCCGTTGAAATGTTGAACTTCGACCCCGAGCCGATTCACATAGAGATTTTCTTGCGCTCAAATGTAATTCTAAGTGAAGTATACTGGTAAAGTAAAATTATGTTCTTTTACAGAAATATTTACACATTTTATTATTAATGTATTGTCATGCTTCTGCATATTTACGCTGAGCTTTAGTTAAATATAATTCTATACAAATTTTGTTACGTCAAGCATTAAGAGTAAGAATATATTTCGCGCCAAAACCAGAAAATAATCTGTGTCACCAAATAAGTTTATCAGCATCTTTCTGAAATTTTCTAACAGAAAATAGCGTTAATTATAGAGAAATTTTGGTGAGTATTACTTATTAATGTTAAGGTTCTCCAGAGGTGGTTCTCTACACCTTCTTGGCGGTCAATTTAATCCCATTTATTAATTATCCCCGATGGCGATGACATCCAGTCGATATTGTGTCATGAGTGAAAATCTTATCTATTTGATGAAATAACTTCTTCATTAACTGTACATGCAATATTTTTGTAGTTTTTGATAACCGTGTACATTCCCATTGCATGTCCGCAAGATAAATGGGTTATGCATTTGTGAATTGTGTAAGTACAGTTAATATTGTGTGATAACAATTTTGTGACGGTCAGTGCGTGATCACGTGACATTATTATTTGTAAACAAACGGGCTCCCCATGTAACACGTGTCGGAACTATCCATATAAGGTGCAATCAATCTTTTATTTCACTATTTGATGATATTTTTGTGTCTGTTTGTAGGTTTTGCAGATCAGATCATCGACAGATGTCATAGTGTAGTTTCATAGGTAAAAAAGTACCATGATCGTTCCTGTTCAGTAGTTGTGAATTTTTTTTATAGAATTAGGTTATTCTACATTAGTCATTATTTGAATTAAGTCTGAAAAAAATGACTCAACTCTCTGTGTAATTTTTCCCCAATTTTTGAAACATGCATAATTTAAAGAGCATTTGCTTCCCTTGAACCCTCCCCCCTTACAAATTGCCCAAAACTCATACTCATAGTCCGAGATTACTCTGGTGTTCAACATCTGTTTTTGCGATTCCGGCATTTTAACTCTTTATTTTCAAATTCAGCTTATTTGCATCATAAATGAACGAGGTGTTAGATTATGTTTTCCTATTGAATAAGGGTCATTTTCATAAATCAGCTCTCATACATGTAATGCATTGTAAATTACTTTTCTGTTGGTCATGTCACAATCTTTTAAAGTTAAAGTAAAAATGCCAGTATTGATGTGTCGATGTGAAAACTGTCCAAATATGAGAAAATAGCGGGTGGCAGGTCGATTAAACTTACTTTAATCATGGAAGTAATATTTAAAAGGAATAACAACGACTAATTAGCATGTATTAACAGCCTGCAGAGCTCTGTACTAAAGTCATATGATTTTATTCAATTATAGTCTCAGCGGCAATACCCCTTTGGTTACTATCTGTGATACCGCGGTTGTAAAATGGCATCTGGAATTTCTTATCAGTCACGTGATTTTATCGAGTCCGGTAATTATAAAGCACCTGTGTGAAATCCGAGGTTTATTAATAAGAAGGTGGCGCTGTATCATATAAAACCTCTACCTTCAGAAAGAAGTCGTATGATGTAAAAAAACTTGAAAAACGGACGAGAATTGTTCAACCTACAACAGTTTAGCATGGAAAATTGTATTTAATTTAGCATATTTTTGCTTTTTACCGTTTGTTTTAAACTGTTCTAAAAGTATTTTCCGGTTAAAAGCGGATCCCGAGTAAAACAGTTAAATACCGATGAATTGATCAGGTTTCACATGATGTTGAACAAAATAATGTAGACAGATGTAGACATAGAATATTTTACTGTTGAAATGTGGCAAGTTTATCGAGATTTATAAAAATATTTACTTTCAAGTAATTGATTACGTTATTGAAACTGGACAATTAAAATCGGGATCATAAGTTCGTAAACATGTTAAATTTATATCTATTTTAAAAAAGTGTTTACAATTGAATACTAATATTAATGTAGCACGTTACAGCAAAAAGAAAATTAATACAAAACGAGCTTGACGATATCTGTCTAACCGCAAATTTATTTTATATGAATTTGTTTATGTACAAATTAAAGAATAGAAACGTTTAAAATTGTGAATATTTGATTTGCCTGGTATACACGGAAGACTTGGATTATTCGTATTTAATAAAAGGGGGTCGACACATATTTTTT